AAATCACCACTGGACACTTAAAATATGCCCAACTCCCACTCCCAACTTTTTTCCTCCTTAATTTAATTTGAATTGCATTGTTAAAAGTAAAAATGTTTGGACTTGAAAACTGCTTTGGGAATGTCTATTTTTGAAGAAATATTCTCTCCATTTGGGGTAAAAGTAGGCAGCTATGGTCTTCATAACCACCAGCAAGGCAGGTAGCCTTCATCATGGTTTTAGGTCAAGGTCCACTCTCCCATTTAACAAATATGCACCATTAGCCTACTCGATGCCAAGCTAGGTGTACTTCATTAATAAAACAAAAATTGTTTTGTTTTGTTTTGTTTTGAGACACAGTTTCTCTGTATTGCTTTAGAACCTGTCCTGGTACTAGATCTGTAGACCAGGAAGGCCTTGAACTCACAGAGATCTGCCTGCCTCTGCCTCTTGAGTGCTGGGATTAAAGGCATGTGCCACCAATACCCGGCCATAAAACAATTTTTTAAAATAATTATTTTGAGTGTAGACATGTGTTTCTGGGTATGTGCTTGTGCACTATGTGTGTGCAGGAGACTTCAGAGGTCCTTCACTCTTCAGATTCTGATTTCTGTCTCTCACTGGATGACAGTAGGGAATTCTGAATAATATATTTTTGATTTTAATTATTTTTTATTTTTAATTATGCAATACCTTCATTCCTGAGGAGGCCAGAAGGGAGCATCAGATCCTTTGAAGCTAGCATTATGGCCTAATGAGAGCAGCCTGACATGAGTGCTGGGAACTGAACAGGAGTCCTCCAGAAGAGGAGAAAGAGTTCTCAACTGCTAAGTCATCTCTCCAGCACCATGAATAACACTTTTGCTTCTAATAACGCGATTCAAGCTTAATCAAGGAGGATGTTCTGGACTTGACCCTCTTCAAATGCTTCTTGTCTTCAACTATTTTACTCCATTCTGACTCCCCACAGAATGCTTTCCTGTGCTGCTAAATGGAAACTGAGCCGTGCCTGTGGGAATTTTCTGCTGGGATCCAGGGACAGAGTGGAATTTAGATTCTCTGTTGTGTGTTGCTATTTCTGGAAGGGATACTCAGTTCAGAGATACTTGAAGCCATTCAGGAATAAAATAGAAAGAGCCTAGGCCTCTGGGCACACATTTGAAACTTACATGCTAATATTCTAAACCTAGCCAGGCTAGTGGTGCACTGAGAAGGCAGAGGCAAGCACATCTCTTGTGAGTTCAAGGCCAACCTGGTCTACAACTAGAGCTGTCACACAGAGAAACCCTGTCTTAAAAGCAAAACTGAAACAAAAAACTTCTAATCCTAGTGCCTCAGAACAACACTTATTTTGACACAGTTCAGGGGACAGAGGAGTAGGATTCTGAAGTAGGACTATGAAACATTGATGTTCCCCATTCTGCTGGATAGCAATAAGGTTGTGATGCTGGGCCTGAGGGTAAGGACACCACGTGAGGTAAAAAGAACTGAGAATGTGCCCAGTATGACACCAGATACCAGCACACAGGGATGCTGAGGTGTATGCTGTGGTGGGAAGATGACAGTCATGGCTGGCGATTTTGCCCCATATCTTTGTCTCCTAGACGGCTGTATTATTCTGAGGGAAAGTTCTGAGGTGACTAGGCTGATGCCCTTTGACAGTGGTAAAGATTGATATTAAACAGGATGGTGAGTGGAACCAAATTAGTGTACACAATTTTGCTCCTGAGATTTTCCTTATGGAATTTAAACCATTCATAGGGTCTTTTAACTCTGCTATGAGGCTCCTACTAACAAAAAAATTCCCTTTGGGTTCTTATTTGGTGTACTTTGTTATATGGGTTGAGTTGGGTCAGCTTCCCAGACAAAGTTTTTGAACAGAGAGGTAGAAGAGGGGAAGGACATGGGGGAGGGAGGATGAGAGGCAGGGAGGGGACACCGCAGGATCAAAGAGGGAAAGAGATAACCCAATAGGAGAAAGAGAGGGTGAAACCTTGACTCATGAAAAACAACTTCTCCACTACCTCTCTTTGCAAGCCTAGCAACTTGCACAAGATTCTTCTGGCTTGGAGAAGAGGGCCGCTTGTGACTGGCTCCCTACCCCCCTTCTTCATACATATTTCAACACACAAGGACTGGGCCTCTGGACAGCAGCCACAATTCCAGGATCTCTCAAGTGGGAGGAAGAGGCCAAGAGTGGAGAGGATGAGGGAGGATACACTGGGTGAAAAGGGGGTAAAAGGAGGGAGGAAAGGAAGACCCTAGGACGGAAGGGAAGGATTGTCTCTGTGCATTCTGCCTCGTAACGGGTGACAGCTAAACACAAGAATACTATTGGTTGATGACTCATGACAGACCAATCCCGGACTCTAAACCGCTCAATGGAAATTGTGAGACTTGCATGTAGAGTGGGTTGTTGCGAGGGCTCTCACTTCGTGACTAATGGAGAGTGCAAAGTTCTTTCTTCTATAGTAGTTTGTTCTCTGGTGGCTACTGTGCCCACTGGCAGGCTGGAGAGAAGAGGCAAAGCAGGATAATCGGTATCTGAGAGTCAGAGAAGAAGAAACGCGGAGGTTAATTCTAGAAGGTAGGGAAGGGGGTGGGGATCGCTCCGAGTCCCGGCACCGGCCATAGGAGCTTGGGGGTGGAGGTGCGGTGGGCCTGGAGTGAGGGGTCGTGCAGGCTGCTGTGAGGGAAAAGCCAAATCCTTGAGTCAGGAAAGAACACCTGCGGGGAAGGCGGTCTCACCTACCTAGCTACCTGCGGGGAAGGGCGGTCTCACCTACCTACCTTTACAAGGAAGGGGAGGGGGAGAAACGGAAGGAGGCTGGAGGAGAAGAGAGGGAGAAAGGGGGAGGAGGGACTTGATGGATAATTAGGAGAAACAGCGGGAGGAGCACAAAAGGGGGAGGGGGAAGCAGAGAAGAGGAGCAAGGAAGGAAGGGGAGGAGGGGGAGAGAAGGCCAAAGAAGAGAGGAAGAGGAGGAGGGCGGGGGAGGAATATCAAATGACTGCTGAAGAAACTGGACTCTGGAAAGACAACTGAGCCTAAGACATCGGAAAACTGCCTGCATGATGTTTATGTTGTTTGTTTCATAGGATGTGTAGTGAACCCACTCATCAAGGTACAACCCTACCGGTAGGAAGAAGTCTATCCATATAAGGTACAAGTTGGAATGCTTCTGAGACCAGCACAGGGACAAGTGCAACCTACATGAGAACTGTGGGTGATTTCTCCTCTTTACTTCTAGGTTTCCTGTCCACACCTGATCTAGGTGTCTCTGTCCTGAAGACCTATGGAGCCTGCTACTTCCCTGTACTCTTGCCTGCTCGCCTCCCTTCTCTTCCTGGTCCTCAGCCTGTATGTGCTGGTCTCAGGTAAGGCAGTAGGCTTCTTGCTCCTGTCAGCCTTTTAGAAAGTGATACCAACAGTTCTCCTGACAGCCAGCCAGGTGGAGGATTACAGCTGCACTGGCTCATACTTCTATTCTGACTGCATACACTAGATTTATCCCAATTTTGCCCTGCAGAAGTGCAGCAAAAGCCTCAAAGGAGACCTGTAAATATGCCTGTAAAATTTCAAGTGGCAACATTCAAAGGAGTTAAAAGCAGATGGGGTAGATTTTAATGAAATATTTTGTTTAACTCCACATCATCAAATACTAATATTTAAATGCTCACCTTGCCGGCTGTGGTGGTGCACACCTATAAATTTGGGCAACTGAGGCAAGACTGCTAAGAGTTCAAGACCAGCCAGGGGTACATAATAAGACGATGTCTCATGAAAGGAAACAAGGGGGCTAGGAATGTGGCTCAGGTGATAGAGTGCTTGACTAACATGCACACTTATGTTTTCAACCCTGGATCTCTGGCACACTTAGGCACTGGGCTGCAGGACAAATCATTCTGAGCACTGGGTCTATAGTATGTGCTCAAGGTGACCCCAGTGTTCTGTTCATGTGAGTTCTGGTTTGTTGGTTTTATTGTGCTTTTCTCCATAGCAGGCTTGCACTTGCTATGCAACTGAGGATGAATTTGAAGGACTGGTCCTCCAGCCTCCATCTCCTAAATATTGGGATCATGGGTGTGCGTTATGCAGAACTCAGTATTTGTTCCTGAAATATTTGCAGCATCACTGGGTTGTTCCGAGAGATGCTGCTCACCAGACACAGCAACTAGCCCATGTAGGAAGGCCCTGTGGCCTTGGCAGGAACTTGTCTAAACCAGGTTGTCTAACCTTTTCAACTCTCCAGGCCACACTAGATGAGGAATTCCCAGGGCCATGTGTGAGGTGATCAAGAAGAGGTATCTTCTAGTTTCATTTCCGTTTCTGTGACAGATAACCTCACAAAAAGGCAGCACAGGAAAGAAAAGGGTTTAATTGGGTACAGATGCAGGACACAGTCCATCTCAGCAGGGGGTCAGGAAAGGGACGAAGCAGGACTGCTTGCTGGTCCACAAGGCAGTGCCTCCAACCAAGAAACTAACTCACTTCATGGCCAAAGAAGTGCGGGGTGGGCCATGGGAAAGGCTGCTGGCTGGCTGGCATCAGGCTCTTATGTAGATCAGGATCACCTGCCTAGGGAGTGGTGGGGGCACTCCTACATCAATAGACGGTACCCCATAATGTCTACAGACCAGTCTGACCTGAGCGAGTTCCCAGCTGAGGTTCTCTTCCGAGAGAATTCTAGGTTGTGCCCCATTGACAGTTACAGCTAACCAGGCCAGTGTGCAAAGCTCAGCTTGAGTGCTATGAGTGCACACATGTTTGCTTTGTATGGCATTGCGACCCAAAACTGTCACTACAAAGTTTACACTTGAGAACCATGGAATAAAAACAGACAGCAACAGAAACAAACCTCACGTAGTTTTAAGTGAGATTACCATTTTGTGTTGGGTTGAATGTGCAGATGTCCAGGGCCACAGCTTGAATACTCTTGAAACCCACTTGACTGCACTGGATATTTCATGGCTGCCATTCCTGCCTGATTGTTCTCCTTTGTTGAATAGCCCAATTTACTGTCATGGGACCAGCTGAGCCCGTCCTGGCCATGGTAGGAGAAAATACCACACTGCACTGCCACCTATCACCAGAGAGGAATGCAGAGGGCATGGAGGTGCGGTGGTTTCGGTGGCATTTCTCCCCCGCGGTGCTTGTGTACAAAGACCACCAGGAGAGAGACGAGGAGCAGATGGCAGCATATCAAGGAAGAACTACCTTCGTGAGCACAGACATCAGCAAGGGAAGAGTGGCGCTCGTTATCCACAATGTCACAGCCTATGACAATGGCATCTACTGCTGCTACTTCCAGGAAGGCAGGTCCTACGATCAGGCCTTCATGAGGCTCATGGTGGCAAGTGAGTCACCCCACACTCCTCTGTTTACTTTTTCCACTGTGACCTTTGGGGAACATTGCTTTCCTGGATTCAGAGTCATAGCTGAAGCTTTGCTATGTCTAATATTCTCTTCAGCTGAAGCCTTCCAGGATATTCTTCTGATGACATGCACTGAGTAGATGGCACTGTTTTGACTACCTCAGATGCATTCCTATCTGTAGCATGGGGACACACTATACAGATTGCCTACCTGAAGGAGTCCCTAAGAGGTAAACGCTTCTGAAGGTCGAGAGTCAGCTCTGAGGGAATACTATTCGTTATCCAAAGGCAGCAGGCTGTGTGGTTGGCACACAGCTATGGGCCATTGCCTTCTCTGGTTGGCCATGAAGGAGCCCTGAGCCAAAAAGGACAGTGTCTTAAAATAAGAAAGTTATATAAGGTTGTGGCAGCCAAACAAATTCTTGTATTCTAAAATGTCCACAAGACCAAAGCAACTGAGAAATTTTCCCTCAGAGCACAAAGTTCTAAGTTGGCCTTTCTAGGTTGGACAGAACACACCTACTTAGAAGTCAGACCATTGAAGTCTCTGGCAGAGTCAGTGAAACAGCAAGCCTTTACAGAGACAGTATACATATGTGGTCTGTGATGAACCTTGGAGCTGGAGCACAATGTGGAGTGATGGAATCCTTTGCTTCCAGCACATTTGGCACATTGGCCCTTTCTCTAACATCAACACCTTTCTTTCTACCCATCTTTTCTTCCTTCCTGATTCATCTTCCCTCTATCTTTTGGCTGTAGGAACTTGCATATTAATTACCCCTAGGTTGAGCCAGTTTGTACATCCCTTTCCTTGGCTTCTACCATTAAGAGCAGGTCACTAAGATATACTCAATGAAATCCTATTGCTTGTTTTATGATGCTAAGGATCAAACCCAAGCCCTTTCTATGCCATGCAAGCATTATACTACTGAGCTACATCCCTAGCCCAGCCACATTGTTTGTTTGTTTTTGTGACAGGGTCACACTATGTAGCCTTGGCTGTCCTGGAACTTTCTCTGTAGACCAGGCTGGCCTCAAACTCATAGAGATCTTCCTGTTTCTCCATCTCTAGTGCTGGAACTAAAGTAGCCACTCTTAGCTGAGTTCTAGTGTTCCTTCCTAGGCCTGGGCTCTAAGCCCCTCATTAAAATGAAGACCCTTGAGGATGGGAGCATCTTGCTGGAATGCACATCTGAAGGGTGGTACCCAGAGCCCAGAGCTGTGTGGAGAGACCCCTATTATGAAGCTGTGCCTGCCCTGGAGGAAGATTGTACAGCTGACAGAGGAGGTCTCTTCACAGTCACTATGACTGTGATCATTAGGGACTGCTCTGTGAGGAACATGACCTGCTCCATCAACAACAGTCTGCTCAACCAGGAGGTGGAGAGTGTGATTTTTATTCCAGGTTAGTCTTCTGCCCTCTGGAGGTATGTCTAGAAAAGATAGTCTCCTCTGCAAATAGGCTGATGTCTAGAATACTGATGGGAGACTAGAGGATGGTCTGATAAAGGATTTTTGACTCTGCAGAGCTAGAGGCTGAAGCTGAACTGAGGTCACATCCTTTGTCACAAGAAGGAAACCAATTAGTCCCAATCATATGAATGAGTAGTGATAAACAGTAATAGAACAGCGAGGAACAGTGGTTATGTTGGTTCATACCTGTAGCCCCTACACTTGGAATGACAAGACAAAACAGAATGGATCTCACAACTTAAACTTGACTACACTTGAACTTGTGGTAATCCTTCTCCTTCTCCCTCGTAGTGCTGGGGTTAGAGTATAGGCCACAACACCCAGCACATTTCAGGGTTTTAATGTATAATGAAATGGATCTCCATCCCTCAGTTGAGAAGAGACTGTATGCAGCAAGGACAGAGCAAGGAGGAAGGCATTGCAAAATCCTGGACCAGGATGCTGGGGCCTGTGAAAGGTGAAGGCTGTAGAGATTTAGCAGACTGCTTACCTCATTTCATCCATGGCAGCCCTGGGTGACCCTGAGTTTTTATCCACTGAGAAGTCAGAGGTCAACTATTGCGGTTAAATAAGGATCAGGATAAACAAATAGGCCAAATAGATGTTTATTCAGGGAGAAATAACTTACAACCTAGACAGATGAACACCAGGGAATTCCACCCGATGCTCTCCTGTCTGAGTCCCCTGTCTGAGTCCCGCCAGCAAGAGAGCTCCCCCCCCCTCTCTAACCTCCTTCCACAGGTCACTTCCACAGGTCACTTCCGCCCATCGCTCCACCCCCCAATGGGCGTGGTCAGTGCCACAGAAGGACTATCTCACTACAGTCAACCATCATCTTTCTCCCATCCTGAGAGAGAAACCCCAGGGCTGGGACTTGAGGGAGCTCTCCAGATAAACTTCCTCCAAGGAGAGCTCTTAGCCTTGGTGTCCTGTCTCTCACCACACAGCACTTCTCTGGCTCAATTTCCAGAGTTCTTCGTGCCCAGCCTTCCTCTCTGGATGGTGGCCATAGCTGTCACTCTGCCTGTACTAATGCTGATCCTCCTTACATCTGGAAGTATCTGCCTCGTCAAGAACCTCCACAGGAAAAAGTCGATTCTGTCAGCTGAAAAAGAAGTTGAATATGAAGAAAAAGAAACCACACGTAAGGAACTAGGGAAAAGAAAAAGAACTTAGAAGGTAAAAGAATAAAGTATTAAATTTCACTATTCTTCAGTTCAAGGCCAACCTTGGCTACAAGATGAGTTTAAAATCAGCCTAGGCTACATAGGACCATGGTCCCAAAGAAATGAAAAAAAAGGAGGAAAAGAAAAGAGGGGACACCACCTGTTCTGACAGGTAGAAGCTTGCACGAGACAGGGACACATACAGTCAGTGGAAGGGCTCAAAACTCTCATATTATAGTAATTATGACTTTGGATCTTTTGTTCCAATCTGTAAACTTTGCATCACATACTTACAAGCAGGACTGAGTTACTAAACAAAAGCAAACCAAAAAAGTCCCAATATTGTCCCCTCACATGGTATATATCACTTCTGGCTTCTGACAGTTCTCATGTATGGGTATTTTATTAGTTACTTTTTTCATTGTTGTGATAGTTACATCTGATAGGGGCAGACAAAATGATTCAGTTGGTAAAGGGACTTGCTTCCAAGCCTGACATCCTAGATTAAATATCTAGAACCACTCCTACAGGCTGTCCTCTGACCTCCGAACCTGCAACATAGCACACAGACACATGGACACACACACACACACACACACACACACACACACACACACACACACACACATACAAAGTAAGTGAAAATTTTGAAAAATTTTAAATTTGTGAATGAATATTTTGCCTATATGTATTATGTATACCATTGAATGTCTGATGCTCACAGAGGTCAGAAAAAGGCATTGGATGGCCTGATACTAGAGTTATGGATGTTTGTGAACCACTATGTAGGTGCTGGCTAATGGAATCTGTGTCTTCTACAAAAGCAATAAGTGTTCTTAAGCACTAAGCCATCTCTTCAGAGCCTAAGCTTTTTTTTTTTTTTTTTTTTGGATTTTGTTCTATTTTGATTTGTTTTGTTTTCCAAGACCTGGCCTCACTATGTAGCTCTGGCTGTCCTAGAAGTCACTATGTAAAACAGGCTGTAAACAAAGATCCACCTGCCTCTGCCTCTGAAGTGCTGGGATTAAAGGGGTGTGCATCCAGCTTCCTAAGCCTTTTTTTTTTTTTTTTAAGTTACATTTATTTGGAGAAAGGTACCCCACTATTGCCTGCATGTAGAAATCAGAGAACAATTTGTGAGAGTTGGTTCTTTCCTTCATGGGTCTTGGGGATTAGACTCAGACTTGGCAGTAAGTGCCCTTACCCTCTGATCCACCATGATCAAACTCATTAACCTCACTTAGAAAATCTCTCACAGACAAACCTAAGTTTGTTTCCATGGGGATTCTAAATCCTGTCCAGGTCACAATGGAGATTAACCCTGTCAGGTAGGAAAGAAGGGTTTGGTGCTGTAGCAAGAGCATCATTTAAGACAAATCCAAATACCCTCTGCTGCCTACTGAGGACACTGCTTTCTTTTTCAGGGCAACTTCAAGAAGAACTGCGTAAGTTTAAGCTTTCCTGAACTACTCTCTACAGTTTGTGTTCTGCTGGCTTAGCCATGATCTCATGACATTCACCTCTCTGTCACTTGCAGGATGGAGAAGAACCCTCTTACATGCTGGTGAGAGCCTCTGGCATTCCCTTATATCCTGAGATTTCTCTCTACTAAGGGAAGAAATTAACAAAGAACCAGGGTCCCTCGAGTGGGGAAGTAGGGGATTAAGAACGCCATAGCCCCCCCTAATGCTGGACCCTAGCTTTGTCAGCCCGGCAATTTATTTCTCACAGCCCTTCCCTTTTTCAGAAGAAGTTAATCCATGAGTAGCAGAGCTCTCCCATACAGAATAGCTCTCCCAAGAGTACTCTTGCTCTTGGATCCCGAATTAATTCGAAAGAAGACAATTCTGTCTTGGGTATTTATTATCTGGGAGACAGTTAGATCGAACAGTTGGATCCCTTGTGGCAAAAATGCAATACATTTCCTGGTGCTGATCAGGGATGTAATTACTAGGTGTCCAGAAATGCTTCCTGCTTCCAGGACGCTAATACTCTGTGAATCAGGTGAGTGAGAGAGCCCAGAGCCTCGCTACCTATTCTTCATGAGAATTATTAATTTTTTCATGTGTTGCCATCAAGCATGCAAAGGCCTTGGCCCAAGGACTTTTGCTCCTTAAGGGGAAGTTGAAAATTGTCACTATCTAGTTGAGACAATTACAAGTTGTCACAAACCATGCATATCAGGAGGATATAATTCTAACACCGTCAGCAAAGTTGACTGACTAGACAAACCATAGTGCAGACGGTTGGCAAACACTTTCTGTGCCCATAGAAGACACTACTATGAGCTTCAACCCTGCCTGAAAATATCCCCATCTTATGTTTGCTGCACACACCTTTCAGCTTGGCTTTGGGGACATTTGTTCTCCTTCTGTATCCTTCGGTGGGTACCCTATCAGTCATTTAAATCAGTTGTCAGCTGATTGAAGGAATGCCGAGACCAGTGAAGTGATCTTGTACTAGCCAGGACTCACTTAGATTCGTTAACTGGCTCATCATTAGGGAGAGTGAGAGATTAAGCCTCTCTTGTTGGCCAAAGCCAAGTTGGATGGTTTCTATTAGGAGAATCCTAGAGATCTTATATTATGGCAAACACTGGAGCAGATCTGAGAATGCTGAAAGGGGGAAGCATTCCCTTCAGCTCATTTGCTGAACTTGCTGGGTTTCTTAGAGCCCCTGTCTACTTTATAGAAGACAATCCTCCTGTGTAAGGAGTAGGGATTTTTTGCCCGCCACTGGTCTTGTTCCGCCGCTGCACCAGCCCCAATTAACACACTGAGACTATGTATTAGATATAATTCTGTTGGCCCGTTACTTGTTTCTTATCATCTAGCTCTGTCTTAAATATTAACCCATTTCTGATAATCTAATATTTCCACATGGTCTTCTTACCGGGGAGCCAGCCGGCATTCTGTTTTCTCCAGACTCTCCATGTTGACCCCTCCTTCCTCCTTCCTATTTCCTCCTTGTCTCCAGTCCCTCCTATCTTCCCTTCCTATTGGCCAACAGTGCTTTATTCATTAACCAGTATGAGAAACATATATATATATATATATATATATATATATATATATATATAGGCATCTCCCATCATCTCCTCTTTTCTGTCTAAATAAAAAGAAGGGTTTTAAGCTTAACACAGCAAAATATATAACACAACAGTTATCAAGTAAGAATCACAGTTAACAATATTTAGTCCATTAACATTTAGTAAGATTTGAAGAAAATATTCCATCATCTATTTTGTCTTGTGAGTCTAAGGTCCTATATGTACCCTATCATTGAATCCTAACTAAAGAAAACTATAACCATAACTGTCTGTCTTCAACTCCTTCAAAGACCACAGAAGGATAGTATATAAACTCTAGAAATGACAGAGACATCTGGCCTTTTTAGTCACCTGAAGTTCTTCTGTAATCTTCCATCTTTAGCCCATAGGCCATAGTGTGTCTGGCAGACTCTTCAGCAAAGCAGGAAACTTTAAACTGTCTTCTTTTATTGGCAGCTTGTCAGTCATTTTTCTCTGTGTCCTGCAGACTGTCTGGCAGACTCTTCCATGAAGCAGGAACTCTGTAGCAATGTCCATCTTGAATCAGCAGTCACTTTTCTGTGGGTCCTGCATGTCCAGTTTATACAGCATAAAGTCAAACAGTCCAGACAAGAGCAGTATCTTGTCCAAATGGCTAGTCTTGCCATATTGGAAGCAAACTCTATAACGAGTTTCTTCAATGTCCATCTTCCTTTCTGATGCAGGTGGTGTTGCCAGGAACAATTATGTCTCATTGTCAAGAAAAACCCTAAACCAATTTAAATGCCATATTCTGTAGGTCTTTGAAAGGTTTGAAGAATGCCTATCTATCTCAAACATATCTCTGCATATCTAGAAAACCTAACTCACCTAGCTATAAGTTTTGACTATTAGAGGTAACTATGTAAAATCTGTACTAAATTATACATTACATTTTTAAATGAGCTTTATTCATTAACCAGTATGAGAAACATATACAGAATGACATCTCCCATCACTCCTGTCTGCCTAGAACACAAACGAGCTTCATTATGGGCTTCCTTAGATCAACAAACAAACAAACTGCCTTCTTTGAAAAGGAATCCCACATCAGCTCCCAATACCCCATGGGGGGGGGGGGGAACCAGAGGTTGTGCATGTCCAGGAATTTGAGCTCTCAGCACTAAGCCTGAGACTTTTCCTACAGCTGATGTAGTTCTGGACCCAGATACAGCTCATCCTGAACTCTTCCTGTCAGACGACCAGAGAAGTGTAAGACGAGGTGCTTCGAGGCAGAGCGTGCCTGACAACCCTGAGAGGTTTGACTGCCGGCCATGTGTCCTGGGCCGGGAGAGCTTCTCCTCAGGAAAGCATTACTGGGAGGTGGAGGTGGAAAATGTGATGGTGTGGGCCATTGGCGTCTGTAGAGACAGTGTTGAAAGGAAAGGGGAAGCCCTGTTGGTTCCTCAGAATGGCTTCTGGACCCTGGAGATGTTTGGAAGCCAGTACAGAGCCCTGTCCTCCCCAGAGACGATCATACCTCTGAAAGAGCATCTGCACCGAGTAGCCATCTTCCTGGACTGTGAAGCTGGAGATGTTTCTTTCTACAACATGAGAGACAGGTCACACATCTACACATGTCCCCCTGTGGCCTTTGCTGGACCCCTGAGACCCTTCTTTAGGCTTGGCTCTGATGATAGTCCCCTCTTCATCTGCCCAGCATTCACAGGGGCACAGGGAGTAACAATACCTGAGGGTGGGCTGATCCTATATAGGACAAGACCAGTTTCTCAGAGCCATGTAAAGGAGCCATAGCTCTCACCTACCACCTCCACACACAATCAGGTGGAGAGCAGGCCCTATGTCCTTCAGGTCACCTCGTGCATCTTCCAGCTGCCCCCTCCCCACATATTCCAGGTCTGTGCCCCAGTTCACTCCTTCATTAGCTCATTTGCTTCTAACTATGGGCCTAGACCCAGGCTTATTGGACCACTGTCATCACATCGCTCTCTGCTGAGATGAAAGTGTGAGAAGGGAAGAGATAGAAAACTCTGAAACTTCACCATGATGCTCTGCCCATAGTGGCCAAGGCAAGGGCAATAGGGTGCATCAGGATGAAAGAAGGAGAGAACAGCAGAGGAAGGAGACAGGTCAATACAAACTGAGGCCACAGATGGAGGAAATGGAGCAGCGAGCTTGGGGTAGGCCTCATATGACAGCTGTGGAGAGATGGGAGCTAATGGTCCACAAATATCCAAAGCCAAAGGTTTTTCTAGCATGTAATAAAGATGTGTGGAGTATGTATCTGTAAGCCTACACATGGGAGGGAAGAATGAACAGTGACAGTCTGGTTTCCAGCTGGCTCAGAGGTCCCTACAGTAGACACTCAGTTCTGAGTGTTTCCTTCTCCTGAGTCCCAAAGACAGTTCCACAGCTTTTCATCACAGAAGAAATAAGCACAAGCTTCCTGCGCTACTTCCTATCCCAGCGCCTGTAACACCACCAGCACAGTCCTCGAGAATCACTACTGACTGCAGGGGCCACTTGAGCAGGGAAGTTTGACAGAAGCTGGAGAGATGGGGTCCCAGGTGAGTGGAGGGTTTGCACCCCAGCAGAAGGGAGATTTGTGCTGCTCTAAGAAGCATCATTCAGGTAGAGCAGCCTGCTAGTGGTACAGCTCTAGAGGAGGCCGGGAGGTGGGGCTTCTTCACCTCCCCAAGGCATGGGATTAAAGGAAGTATGATGCACCAGTTTGCTTGTTCTGTTGCTGGGATCACTGTGTTCAAAGGCAACTAGAGAAGAAAAGGAGTTCTTTCATCTTACACTTCCCCATTGCAGTTCATCATCATAGAATGAAAGACAGTCTTAAATCTATCCATTTAGCAAACACATGAGTGGGGAGATCAGGGAAGCAGGTTACAGCAGAGGTGGTCTCTGAGATCATGTTCTTTAAAACAAACAAACCAACAAAAGCACCAGTCAGTCAATCAAACAACTACTTGACCAAAGAAAATTCTGTTAGTCTTTCTCAGAGTGTGTGTCACCGACATGTGTTGGCACTTCCCACATCCTTTCTTCCAGATCAACTTGATGTTTGGCCAAAGAAAGACATCTACTGGCTTCTTCCTGTAAGAAACACTGTCTTAAATTAAAAGATCAAATGGTCTGAATCGCAGTCAAGCAGCAGAACTACTATAGCCAATCAAAGGCTGAATGACAAAAAGTAAAGTTAAAGAAACCCCCCTACTTGAAAAAAAGGACAGTCTGACCTGGAATTTGCTAACTTCCCCAAGAATTCACACTGCCTCTCTTTTCTGTGAGTCAGCAGATGGTAAATAGGGTTCTTAAGAAACAAAGAGATAGCTGCACCTCCGGTTTGCCCAGACAAGATTAATTAGCACACCCTGAGGCCCTAAGGTCTGTTGACCCTAACAGCAAGACCATCCAGCCTCAAAGGGTCACATACTCAAGGGACTGAGGGTCAAACCCTCTCCCTAAACTTGTGGGCTTTGCCTTTAAAAACACCTGTGCTTGGGGGATGGGGCTTCTCTCTAGCCTGCATGGTGAGGGAGCCCGTTTGCTCAAATGTTTCCTGTTCATTAAAGCCTCTTGCATGTTGCAGCAACTGGACTGGACATTGAGTTCTTGGGGGTACCGACTGAAACTGGGAGAATCCTCATTCTGAGGGTCTTACAAGGCTTCCTTCAGAACTGGTTCCCAGGCCCAAGCTGATGAAGAGCTCCAATTATGTTCTCTCTCTCTCTCTCTCTCTCTCTCTCTCTCTCTCTCTCTCTCTCTCTGTTTCTCTCTGTGTATGTGTCTGTATACCTCTGTCTCTGACTCTCACACGTGCTGCAGTACTTTCAGCTTATATATATTTAATCCCAGCAGCCACACTAGTTAGCCATAGAAGCAGGGTGATGGTGGTGCATGCCTTTAATCCCAGCACTAGAGAGGAATATAAGGCAGATGGAGACAAGAGTGCAGGGTATTCAGTCTGCGGTCACGCTGAGGACAGGGTCACCCCAGTCTTGGTGGAGGTAAGAACTCTCTAGTGGTTGGCTGCTTTGCTTTTATGATCTTCAACTTAAACCCCAATATCTGTCTCTGGGTTTTTATTGTTCATGCTACACTGAATACACTGAATAGTAGACATATTTATGCACTTTAGGATTTGGTGAAATTTTTCCTGATAGTTAACTCAATCCCCTATGCACAATAAAACTTAAAACATGACTACATCAAAACTCTTTGTAAAGTACATGTGACACCTTCAGTATGGATTGACAAGCTCAGGATAAGGGTCCAGGAAGCATCTTGTGTGGTCTCTTTGGCCACACAGATAGTGCAATGGTGACCCGGCTATTAACCATATCTCTGGATGGAAAACAAGCTATTCACCTCTCTTTGAAGGGACAACCCTGTGTGTTTAACATTCCTGGATCTCCTACGGAGTAGTACATGTGAGCACAAGGACCTCCATACCTCCCACAGGGGGGTGTGCATTCGGGGCTGGGAGGTGAGGGAGGGTATCCAATGACTGTGTGTATATATAAAGTGTATATGTATAAAGGTCTGTAGCTTGTTCCCAAGGTCCATTTCCAGAGTTCACTGTGGGCTTGGCAAAAGCCTCTACTGACTATCATATTTCAGCACCTCTGCCCCTCTTCCTTAACTTCCCCAACTTGTCGATTCCCAGGTAGTCTGCAATAACTGTCTTGCAGTCTTCCTCTGGAACATTAGTGAGAGGGGTTCTTAAAAGTATGTGTCAGTCCAAGACAATTTCAGAGGATCTAGGGAGTCAGAATTCTTCAACACTACTAAAAGCAACATTCGCATCTTTGCACATTACATGTAAGCCCAGGATTTTCTAGATGTTAAGTGACACATGATGGTAGTATCCTACCCACTGAAATATGTGCTAAAAATGCACAGGTTAAGATGCATGGGATGAGGTTATAATATGGATTATATATTTTATTCGGGGAGGAGTCACTTACACGAGAAACTAATGACCCGCAAGTTCCCACTCCAAGGATCCACTTCCAGACTGCTTTCCGTGACTCTACTGGAACCAAGAGAAAGTGAGCTGGGGTCCAGGACCCCAGATGTAGCCTTCCCCCATCACGCCCGCACCAGTGACCACAGGTATAGTCAGTGCAACAGGTGCAGGCAGAGTGGATATCTCACTACAATGTGCTTTTGTGTTCCTATGCTTAAAATCTTCCTGACTTCAATTCCTATTGTATTAAATGTTAATAGATACAACCCATATAAAAAAAAACTGTTCAGGGTCCTCAGTTATTTTCAAGAGTACAAAAAGTTTATAAGATAAAAATATTTGAAATCTTATGCTTGAAGCAACACCGTGTATAACCAGGTCTATGCCAAAAATGAAAGGTGAAGCATGTTTGGGGATTGAACGCAAGGCCTTGAACATGCTAGGCAAGTGCCTACTCCTGAGGTACTAGCCTCAAAGCTAAGGTTTTGATGCATTTCATTAATGTTTGATACTATTTCAGACCTTTATTAAGAGGTGCTTTCAGTTTACTAACTTCTTTGAAAAATAATGTAAACTTTTATTACAAATTAAAAAAAGAAGTTTTAAAAAATCTCAACTTGACTTTAACCCCAGCATTTGGGAGACAGAGGCAGGCAGATCTCAGAGTTAGAGACTAGCCTGGTCTACACAGCAAGTTCCAGTGCGAAGCCTGTACAGAGAGAATGATCTCTATCTTTAAAAAAAAAAAAAAAATTTAAAGGTGTAATTGAGAAAAACCAGGATTGAAAAATATTATTACCAGAAAGAGACATCTTTAGGTAAAAATAACAAAACCCATAATGAATAAACAATGTTGATAGTTGTAGTGCATCTGATCAACAGGCAAAAAGCAAGCACTTAAGGTCTTTGCTCCAATCTTCATTCATATCTTACTGCTGGAATTTTGTATTCATTTCTTCTGGTTGGGTGACCAAACCAGATGATGGTGGAGATGTGAATCCTGTTTACACAGGCCCACTATCCTCAGCCTCTGGATTTTTCAGCTGGTGGATTGGCTACTTTTGTCTCTTATGATTTGGGGTTCTCTGGCCTTTGCAATGGTCATTGAAAGTTTATCAACACCAACACTGAAATGGCTGCTTGACCTTGGGTCTCATCTTGATTTTCCTTGTTCTCTTAATTGCAGCCCTGGCTAGGCTGACTTTGGCCAAGAGGACCCACCCCTATAGAATCATCTTCCATCACTTCTCCCTGCATCAGAGGGCTGGAATACTGAGGCCATAGCCCATAGGGTCTTTGAATGTGGTAAGGGGAACCTGACCTGCAGCTCTCTGGGATCCCTCATTCTTTTCTCCACTGTCACTATTCTGATGATTCTATTGGTGATTTTGAAGATGATCCCTATGACTGGATAGTATCAATGATGGTTATGGTCAGCTACATTTTTACTGCCTTCTTAAACTGGAATTCCACCAGGACCTGTAATATATGCTGCCAAGCCATCTGTGGTGCCTGCATGCTGCCTTGATTCCAGTCATGATGATAATGGATTAAACCTCTGAACTATACGCTTCCACCCCAATTAAATGTTTTCCGTTATAAAACTTGCTGTGATCACAGTGTTCCTTCATAGCAATAGAAACACTAAGACACCATCCTTTTCTCCAACAACATCAAACCCAGCAGTATCTCCATCCCCTACACTGCAAGGGTACTTCCCAGGGTGATTCTTTATGGCAGCCTGTACAAATACATTTTCTTTTGTATCATCTATCTGTTCCTTACATTGAACCATTTTAGTGTTCTCAAAACCTT